TGTTGAGTGTATGTTACTATTCTGCTACTAATCAAATTTTTCACTCACTAGTTTTAACATCTATTGATGTATCTTGCCTTAGTCCATTATTTCTGTGATAGTTGCCAAATGGTGATCTTTCTAATTTCATTTCTTTTACATCTATTGGTTGGCAAGGACTTTCCTTCTCACACGTATCTATTTATCTACCTACCTATCAGTATGGACTCATCTATCAGTATCTATCATCATCTATCAGTATTTATCACCATGGACTTATGAATTCTTATTTTATTCAGTTATAACCTATTGTTATCATAAGTAATATTGATGAGCAAATTGTCCCATATTTGATGAGTGGTAACCCCTTCAAGATGATTCCTGTGTCCCTTTGATAGTTCCCACCATTTGTTGAATATTTTTTACTACCTGGAGCAGCAGGGTATTTATGGCTCATTTTACACTTTCTCAGCTGCAGCCCTAGAATTAGTCAATCAGCTATTTCACCATGAAGCTGTGGTTTCTTTTACTGGAGAATAGGGGAGAGTGGGTTTTGAAACCAAAATCTGGGCACTCGGTATATTCATTGCTACTGGAGTGTTGTTAGTTCTAGGCTCCCTCAGGGGACAGCTTGAAAATCTATGTACATTTATATATACATGTGTGCACAAATATAAACATCATATTTCTATATCAATCATCTACCTATCATTTATCTATTTTAGAATCCATGTATTCACACCAATACTTCCAATTTCAAACAAAAACCATAGGGTTTATTCTAGCATTTTTCTTTTCAATGTATGTAACTACTCCAACTGTGAAAAATCTGATTCCTATTATATATATTATATTTAGTTTTTGCTCAGTCTTTTTGCTCAGTCACAGAAAGTAATGCAGGGGTTAAAAAAACATTAATGTTTTTTCTTTCACCTTCCAAGTTCATCAAGGCTGGGCCAAAAAAATCAAATTCAGAGACACAGTAACAGGAGAAAATCAAGTTTTAATACACACACATGGGGAATTCACATAGTATAAAAAATTCCATGAAAAGTCCAAAGACAGTGAGGCAACATTGGGTATATAAGATATTTTTGGACATAGGAAAAAGTTGGGAAGATGGATTGTTAGATTTCATAAGTGAGAGTGGGCAACATAAGGAAGAGAGGACTATACGTGGCAGGAAAATGCTTGCTAGGCAACTCAGAAGCAGTGGGATATTAGGGGGTATCTAGCTGATAGGCTTGGAGGCTTCGTGCTAGGGCGAAGATTCTTAAAGTGATTAACACAAAACTCCCTTCCCAAAGTGGATTTCTCTGCCTGAATCTCTTGGACAGGAAAAGGGGGAGGGTCTAAGTTACCGTTTGTTTCTTAATAAACAGCTTAAAATCAATACCTCCAAAAAGCAGCTTTGATATGGCAAAACTTTGGTTCCCTTCATAACTTCAGAATTTCTAACCCACAACTCTGTGAAAACTTGTCTAACTATAGCTGAATATTTGTTTACTATTCTTTTAAAAAATCTTTTGCTGAAGGATATGTAGTCAAATACTCTGAGCTAAAGTTACCTGAATTCATTAGTTTCTCCTTCTTCAGTGTGACTATCTTAGTCATTTGAATATGGTTAGGTTTACTTCGGTCTATTTGCATATACTTTTAGAGTTTTTCTCTACCTTTATATACATGTACATTTATACTGACATTTTATTATGCGAAACAGTAACTATAATAGTTTCATAAATCAGAACTTTATAAATAGGTGTGTTCAAAAGCATCACACCCCTTTTCCTCTTCTATTCCTTTCCCACCCCTAATTGCTTAACCACTTGTATTAGTTTCCTATTGCTGCTGTAACAAATTCCCACAGAGTTAGTAGTTTGAAACAACAGAAATTTATTCTCTGATAGTTCTGAAGGCCAGAATTCTGAAATGAGCCCCATGGTGTTAAAATCAAGCTGTTAGCAGGGATGTGCTCCTTCTGGAAGCTTTTGAGAACAATTTGTTTCCTTGCCTTTTCCAGAGTCTAGAGCGGCATTCCTTACATTCCTTACATTCCTGATTCTGGGTCATTTCCTTCGTTTTTAAAAGCAGCAATGTAGCATTTTTTTGATTTGGCTTTCCTCTGTTTCTATTACATGGCTTTCTCTTCTGCCCGTAGTCAAATCTCCCTCTGCCTGCCTCTTATAAGGATATTTGTGATTATTTTTAGGGCCCACCTCGATAATACCAGATAGTCTCTCCATCTCAAAATACTGAATTCAATGATATCTACAAGGACCCTTTGTAGGAAGTTGTGAATAAGGTAACATTCACAATTTCCTTGGATTAAGGACTTGGATGGCTATTATTCAGCCAACTGTAGGTAATTAATCTCAATAGTTTCTTGTTTACGCTTTCTGTGTTTCTATATGCACAAATGATTACATACACGTTTTCTCATTTTCCACCCTTTCTTATACAAAAAGTGACATACTATTAAAACTCTTGCTATTGGTCTTTTTCATTTAAAAAATATCCTAGAAATCACTTTACATTAGTTCATAAAAAATGGCCTCATTTTTTTTACAGATGCATATACTCCGTTGTATATATGTGTCACAGTTTATTCACATACTCTCTTAGACATAGAAATTTAGTTTTTTTCATGATATTTTGCAATTACAAACAATACTACAATGATTAACTTTGTCATACTTTTGGAGGTGTATTATCAGAGTAGATTTAATTTGCATTTCACTTATGATGAGTGAATTTAAATATCTTTTCATATTTTTGAGAAATATGTGAGAAGTGTGTATGTGTGTGTGTGTGTGTGTGTGTGTAGAAGAAATTTTTACCTGGTTAGTAATTTGTCTCTGTTTATTTTTTTGTTGTTCAAAAGTGTTTTAAAACATAGTCAAATGTATCAATTTTATTTATTGCATCTGAATTTTGATACATACTTAGAAAGTCTTTTCCTACATCAAGCCAAAGAGAAAAATCATGCATATTTGCGTCTAGGCCTTACATGGTTTCATCTTTGACCTTTATGTCTGTGGTCCACTTGGAGTTTATTCTTTATTATAGTGTGAAAATTGGGTCTCATTTTATCATTCTCCAAATGACAAACCAGTTGTCCTACCAATATTTATTAAATTGCCCATCTTTTCCCAAGTAATTTGAGATACCACGTTTATTACGTATCAAATTTCCATTTGTATTTGGATCTATTTCTGGGACTTTCTATTTTATTCCACTGGTCTTTTAGTCTGTTCGTCCACCGGTACCATGAGTAAAAAAACAAACCAGATTTATAGTTATTTTAATGACTGGGAGGGCTAGCTTCCCCTCATAAACTTTTTTTCCCCTTGTTTTCCTGGCTATTTTAGCATTTTTGTTTTTCCATATGAATTTTAATGTCAACTTGTTTGGCTCCATAAAAATCTTGTTGGTATTTTTATTGGTATTTGTTAAATTTATAAGTTAACTTAAGAGACAACTGATATCTTTACATTATGGAATGTCTTCCCATTTATTGAAGTCCATTTTTGTATCTTTCAGTGAGCTTTAAAGGTTCTCATTTAAGGTTTGCACATTTCTTAATAACTTCATTCTGAAACATTTTACTATTGTATTCTCTATCTTCAGGGTACAAAGTAACTGCATCCATGAAATCTATCTTATTGACTCTGCTATTTATATCTATAATTATTTTCCTTATTTTTTGTTTGCTTGGTCTACTTGTACTAAAAGTGACATATTGAAGTTTCCTACTACTAGTGTATTTATATTAATGTTTCTTTGCATGTCCTATAATTTTTTGCTTTATAAATGTATTGCAGGATCCTGGTTGGGCAGCTGGGTTGGTCCCAATATGCCATGTTTGTGGATTCAGTCCCGCGTCCGCGTCAGGGGACATAAAAGGATCAACCAATGAATCCATAAATAAGTGGAACAACAAATCTATGTTCCTCTCTAAAAATTAATCAATAAATAAAAAAATTAAATGTGTTGCTATTTGGTGAATATAATTCATAACTATTACGTTATCATTGTGAATTACAACATTAAACCAGGCGTCAGGGACATTGCCATATTCAGTCCTTCACTCCTAGTGAACAAACTTTCCATCTCTCACCTGGCTATTAATATCTGAGGTAGGTGGTTTTACCTGTCATTGGTATATTCCCTTCTAAGACCCATGGGAATTAGGAACCAATTATAGTGGAACCTTGGTCCTCCAACTTAGTTTGCTCGGGAAGGCTCTTCAAGGAACGATTTCCTCCGAAACCGAATCAGTTTTTTGAACTGAATTGTTCTAGATGAGAGACTTCGGAGAACCGAGGTTTGACTGTATTATGGACTTTGGGAAAGTACCTTGAAAATAGGACTGTGTTTTATTCTTGAAATACCTAGCAGTCTTTTGTATAAGGTGGGGTGCAGCTGGAAAATGAAAGAATGCTTTTGGGGTTATTGTTAATAGGAATTCAATAGTGCATGCAAAGGACTTGGAAGAATGTCAGGTGTACAAAAGTGTTCGATAAATAATTTGCTCCTGCCTCAATTTTTCTTGCTGTGAATAGGGTTGTCTCCCAGATTAAACAAGAATATTCTGTGTGAAACAGCTTTGTAAACTCCCAACACTATCCAAATGGACTCATCTCAGTGCAATATATTAAGAAATTTTAGCAGCAAGCAGCCGTGTGGCGGGAAGGGCTCTCACCTGGGGGTGCGAAAACCTAACCCATCGTAATTCTTATCACTCATGAAATGACCCCAGACAGTCGCAACTTCAGTGTTCTTTTCTTCATATTTAGGAGCACCGCTGAACGGCCTTGGCGTCCACTCCGTGTCTCTTTGCCGGTCTTTTCTTTGCAATGGCAGGCGGTGACTGCGCGCCCGGCGGGACCAGTCCTGAGGCGGAACGCAGACTGGGCGGACCAGTTCGGGGGCGGGGCGCTGGCTGGGTGGGACCAGTAAGGGGGCGGGGCAGGGCGTGTCCCGGACGCCAATGCGGGGCCGGGCCGGCCCGCACGGGGGCGCTGCTGGAGCCGCGCTGCTTCAAGAGTTGCAGGGCCGAGGAGGAGGCGCTCGCTTCCGAGTGGGGGCCCCGCAGTGTCCGGCGGCCGCGCCGAGGGCCGGGCTGGCCGCAGGTCAGTCTGGGAGGCTGCCTACCCGGTCTCGCCAGTGCGGAGATCTGGGCTCCGGGTGGGCCGGGGGCCCGGGAGGCGGCAGGGCGCCCCGAGAAAGGGCCCGCGCCGCGCCGATAACACAGGCGGCCGGGACTGCGGGATCGGGCTTGGGGCCGATTCACTGGTCGCCGGGCCGCGGGGAGACTCCTGCGCCGCTCTCTGGTGTCCCAGCCCCTTTCATCCCACCTCGTGGGAGAAGCGCGAATTCCTTGAGCAGCGCTTCTCCAAGTGGGTCCGCGGGCAGACTACCGACCCCTCACACTTTCTGAACCGGACCTCGTGCCGTGGCCCGGGAATCTGCATTTCAGCAGGCATTCCTGATGGTTTTGATATAGCGGGTCACAGAACCTCACTTTGGGGACACTTCCCCAGAGGGCAGGGCACTTCCGACACAGTAGGACGCCCAAGTGGATGCATTTGAGTATGGGGCGCTGTGACTGGACTTGAAACGGAGGTGGTCCTCTGCCTTAGGAGAGACTGATTGAGGCAGGGGTTATGTGTTAAACCCTCGCACTGAGGGTGCTGCTGTGCTCCTGTGATGCTCGGCGTGCAGTGCCCGCGTCAGGAGCCTTGGGGAGGGGTTGGGCGTGAAGCAGTGCTGAAGGAGGCAGTGTGGGGTGCAGCAGGAAGAGCTTGGAGTTAGTCCTGCTGACCAGGGTTGGAGCTGTCTGCATCCCTTGCTAGCGGGGCAGCGTTAGTACAGACCCTGCACACATCGTTCTATTTCTTTCCCCAGTATTCTCATCTGTCAATAGGCGCAGTAGGTCATATCCAATAGGGCTTTTGTGTGAATTAGGTAACGTCTGCCAGCTGTCTCCTACAGCGGGAAGCACATAGTAAGCACTCAGTAAATGGGAATTATTAAGAGTGACACAGGCCCTGCCTTCCAGGGGCTTACACTCCACCAAACTAGAGATTAAACCAGTGAGGTAAAATGTAGGCAGAGGTATAAAGTGTATTTGAGAATTGTGCAAAGATTCTATCTTGGGGGTGACTGGGAAGGCTATGCAAGTAGTGAGATTTGTCTGGGCCTTTGAAGAATACATAGGATTGCAGGGAGTTGGGAACTGGGGCGGCATGCACCAGTTGTCTCCTGTGCCTCAAAGGTGGTTCTCTCACCTGGATCATTGCAGGGCTGCTCCCAGGACCTATAGGTAGCTCAGGAAGGCACGTCCGTAAGTGGTGTTGGAAAGCTGGGTCACTGATCTATAATAGTTTCTGTCAACTGGCCATGTTTGACACACACGGTTTTCCTCAGACTAATGGTCTCCTTCCCCCTTTTCACTGGAGACTGGAAAAATTGGGGCATCTATGAAAGGATCTGAACTGATCACATAGTAAAAGTGAATTGCCATGGATACAGTTGAGGCTCTTGGCTCATTTTACACTTGCTATGGAATGTGTAGATGTGGTGGATCTTAACTTGGGAGTATTTTTTTTCATCACAGGATTGTTTTAGGTTACATAGAAATGCCACAATCACCTGTGGTTCATCCATTCCCAGGACTGGTTAAGAAGTTAAGTTCTTAAAACTGCTCGAAAGCTTCAGCCATTTTAAAGTGAAGAAGTCAGGTGACTTAGAGATGTTATTTGTTGTTCTTCTGGACCAGTCTGGCAACTGGCATGCATAGGATTCTGATCTCAGTTGGTAAATTATATCTTCCTTAGTTACGTAACTTAAGAATTACAATAACCATTTTTATTGTAATAATTTCTGTTCTTTTGTCTCCAGAGCCAATATCAAATCCCTAGTATACACCTTATGGTAAAATTTATATCATTATAGGTAATATTTATTAAGTACTGACTTTGAGCCACAGACCGTTCTGTATGCTTTTTATATGTTTTGTCAATTATTCCCCTGATAGTCCTTGGAGGTAGGCACCATCCCTATATCCATTTTGTAGATGAGGACAGGGGTAGAGGAAGACGAAGTGTTTGCCCGAGGTCCCAGAGCTAGTAAGTGACGGAGCCTAACAGCCTCATCCCATGGTGCACGTGTCCTCTGCAGTCTAGCTAGCTCCCTCAGACTTACTGTAATTTAAAAAGATACGGGAATATTCAAGGTCATAAGCACATCCCACTGTTGCAGTACATATGATAGGCAATACATAATTTAATTCTTTAGACAGTCATCTCAACAGCTATGATTTAGCTGGTAATAGTCTGAGCCAAAGTTTTCCAGATTCTCAGCATATCTCAAACTTCTTTCGTGTTATAGAAAATCCTTCAGTTCGATATTGCCAGTGCTGAAAAACTTATTTGAAATAACATTAGAATGTATTTATTTTATTATCTATTGTTGGAAATGTCAGTGGTGATTGTCCTTTGTTTTTACAGAGGGGGACCAGGACCACTATTGTTCTGCAGTTTCTGAAAGTTTCGAGGGAAAAATTCAGGTGTCGGTAGGTGCAATGGAAGGCCACAAGGCAGAAGAAGAGATGTTAGATATTCTTCGACTGAACGTGGGTGGCTGTATTTACACAGCCAGGCGTGAGTCCTTGTGCCGATTTAAGGACTCCATGCTGGCATCCATGTTCAGTGGTCGTTTTCCTCTAAAAACAGATGAATCAGGTAAATGTCTACTATCTGTAAGCGTGATCACGAATATTCATTAAAATAGGAGTCTAGTTTAAATCCCTTTTGATTTTCCTAATTACAAATATTAGGTTAGTTTACTAATTGGTGGGACCATTAGGACTGAATGGAGATTTATTAAATACCAGTTTCTAGAATCTGTGATGGTCTTGCTGAAAGTTGACAAAAAAGTGAGAGTGTGTGAAGGCCAACCAGGACCTAATTATAGGGATTAATGATCTTTTGAAAGTTGTTACATTCATGAAATTCCTTGGATAAAGGTATTAAGGCTGATTTCTTTTTGGGGTTTTCAAATAAAAAAATATGTGTCTCTGGAAAAAGTAGTTGCCCTCAAAACTAACAGCGTAGTCATTGTTCGTGTAGTTAGTGTTAAACCCGTCACCTGGTCTAGCTGGAAGTAAGGCTTTTTGCACTTCTTAGAGGTTCCGGGGCTCATGGAACCCATTCGTGCTTCTGTGTTAGACGGAAGGGACTGAGGGGTCATGAGCATGAGAGGCTTTTAGTAAACCCTGGGTCTTGAGAGATTGCTTTGCCTGCTGAATGGCAGTAGAAAGCATGGCAAACTCCCTGATGGCTGGTGCCCAGGGCTTGTCCATCTAGACAGAAAGGTTGCTGGTAAAAGATGGTAAGCAAGAGATTGAATTATTTGCCTGTCCCCAAGTTTTACTTTCTTAATATCTTAGTTTTTAAACTAATCAAGGGAGAAAAGGAATTACTGAGCAACCTCACACAGAAGTGTTTTTAAAATTCTGCTAAATGGCCTAAGAAAAACATTTTACCATAAAGTAGTACCAGCATAGCATTTGTTTTTTAAAGTTTAGATTTTCACAGTACAGAAGGACTAATCTAATAACTGCAAATACATGGCATGCCTGGAGCTGGGAACCCTGGGCTTCTATGTTAGTGCTACAAATCAATACAAATGCTGGACGTAGTAGCAAGTATCCTGCAAGCCCTCATTAGAGAGGAGCCATAGGCCTTTCCTGGCCCAGTGGGGCAGGAGTTAGGGGTAAGCTTCCATTTCTACCTGCAGTTTGAGGTCTCCATGGCTTTTGCATTGGCCATAGTGGGAATGTGGTCATTGCACCCAAAAATCCAAACGGAGCTCAGAGTACATGTTCCTACATGGTAGGTGAGAATGCAGCAGACCATCAAGTCTGACTAAACCTATATGAATACTAGATGTAAACTTTCTTGTGAGAAACATTTCTCCCTTGGCCTGATCTTAGGTTGACATGCTGAAATTTTGTCAATGGTCATATGTATCTGTGCAATTATTTTTGAACTAAATATTTTCTAGGGGCTTGTGTTATTGACCGTGATGGACATCTCTTTAAATACCTTTTGGATTATCTTCATGGAGAAGTTCACATTCCCACAGATGAGCAAACCCGCGTTGCTCTGCAGGAAGAGGCTGATTACTTTGGCATCCCTTATCCGTACAGCCTGTCTGACCACTTGGCCAATGAAATGGAGACATATTCTTTAAGGTCAAATATAGAACTTAAAAAGGTCTTGGCATTTTCTTCAGTTTTAAAATATATATATGTTTACATATATATATTTATTATGCACAAAGCAATGTGTATTATTTTGCATAGTCTGTGTTTTCACATAAACCAAACATGAGACAGTTTTACCTTGTAATTTTTGAAGACACATTTCTTAATGACTCCTGGTAATTTTTTAAGGCCAAAGTTCTATTTTAGGAAGGTGTGTTACTCAAAGGTTTATGGAGTTTATATTCTTCATTGAAGATTTAACACTTTTTGATGGCTATTTTATAGAACTGTTATTCTCTTGAAGTCTTTTTTTTTTTTTTTAAAGTTAAGAACAATACTATAGTATTTGAAGGTATAGTGGTATTTTGTTTAGTGAAATGGTTTTTTAAAAGAATGATCATAATGAGTAAAAGATTGTATAAAATCTCTTACCTGATGTACGCATGATGCTGTGTCCTTTCTGCACTCAAACCGGGGATAAAAGACTACAGAGTTGGGACTTCAAAAGATGAATGTTAACCCACCCCAACCTTCCAGTTAAGCTTAGTGAGTTTAGAGTTTGTCACTTAGTTGAAACAGTTTGATTAATTCACTTTGAGATCAGTAAATCTTTTTAAAGATGCTTCTACTTTAAATGACATTTTAAAGATCTTACTACTAACTTACCTATTTTTGCCTTATTGTTACATATTATGTTTGCTATTAATACCTTTGGACATCTAAGAAAAATATTTTTCCAAGATAATTGTTAATAGTGAAAACTGATCTGCATTGGTATGAATTCTTTGATTTGGATAGTAGTTTTAAAGAGAGCAGTCTGATGCTGTGGTTATTAGGAATAGAACGTAAAGAGAAAGTTGGTTTGGTTCCAGATCCCCTTCAGGAATTAGCATGATTGTATGGGTTCTGCCACTGGAGTTATTTATAAATTTGCCACATCTGCAGAACGGGGCTAAAAAAGCTTAACTGGAAGGTTGGGGTGGGTTAACATTCATCTTTTGAAGTCCCAACTCTGTAGTCTTTTATCCCCGGTTTGAGTGCAGAAAGGACACAGCATGCATACATTCATTCTATCTACCAACATGTTTATTTCAAATATTTTTGGCATATGGAGCAATGTTCTAGAGACTGTGTGGGGCACAAAGAAATACAACATATAATTCTTGTCCTTGAACAGTTTATAATATAGTTGTGAAAAGTGTGCAAGTAATAAAGTTAAAAGCCGATATAGGAGTTAGATAGAGATATTAAATGAACATACAAGACATATCAGGGTCCTATTTTCATTCACTGAGTCTGTAAATATTAATTATTTCCTTTGGGTCAGGCACTCTTTCGGGCACTATTCCAGGCACTTGGGATGTAACAGACAAAAAAAATTTTGTGCCTGTCCTTATGGTCCTCACAGCAATAATGATGCCATTTTCCCAGGGAAGGCCCTTGCCACCCCACCAGCAGCGCCCTCCCCCTCTGTGCCCCTGAGCACCTCGCAGGCTCATCTAGTAGCACTTATTTAATGACTGGCTTCTGCATTAGCTGTAAACTCTGCGAGGGGCAGGACCCTGTCTCTTGCTCACCATTGAACTTCCAGGGCCTTAGACAGTGCTCAGCACATAGTAGATACTTAATATTCAAGTGAATGAATAACTAGGTGGATAAGTGCCAAATGAGCTCAGACACTATGTATTGAGTTGTATATTCATATTTTGCAGTGTAAAAGAGCAACTTAAAATCTGCCAAATCCATGATTGGATTTGGATTTAAAAATAAGCATCAACCACGGGGCTAGTCAGTAAAAGATGAAAGGAAGATGGAGTCAAATGGGGAATTTGGGGGGAAATAAAGGGAAAAGTAAAAAGGTCTAACTCTTAGTTATTATGTAAAGGTTTTAATATTAAAAGTGATTTTGAAATAAAATGTAATTACCATGTGGAAAAGGATTCTCTAGATAAAAATATGCTGGGTTTTTGGGCGGTGCTTTTTTGTGATTTGCTCCCCACTCCAAATTCAACATATGCATGTTTGGTTTTTAAAGGCATAAAGACTAGTTATAATCTTTTTATTTCACTTACGACCAACTGAAATTGCAGCTATACATGAAAGTAACAGCAAATTAATTTTTTATTAAAAATTACTTTCCAGAATTAAATTCAAATTGATATGTATATATTTTTTTGCTCCAGGCTTTAACAGACTTCTGTGATTCGTATGGTTTAGTTTGCAATAAACCAACAGTTTGGGTTCTCCACTATCTTAACACATCTGGTGCCAGCTGTGAGAGTAGAATTATCGGTGTATATTCCACAAAAACTGATGGAACAGATGCTATTGATAAGCAGCTGGGAGGAAGAATTCACAGTAAAAGCATTTTTAAAAGGTATGTCCATATTTCCATATTTAAAAATGAAAAGGAACAAAATTAAGCCTTGGCCTTTTCTACGAGGTGTTACTGAATGGACCTTGTGGTTGAGAAGAAGAGACCATTGACACCTCTGCACGGGCAAAATGGGCCTTCAGAGCTGTCGAGATGGGCCTGCTGCCAGGGGAGTTATAATTAAGACCATTTCACACATATATAAACTATGAGCCATCTCTGTGGTCTGTTACTGTGCTTCTCAGCTGGGAGTGGACATCAGAATCCCCTGTGAGCCTTTATAAAGATAGAAAAGAAAGAAAAGCAAAGCCACGTGCCTGAGTTTCGACTGTAGTCTACAGGCAGGTGGACTGGCCAAGGAATCAGCAGGCCCTCTGAGTGGCCCAGGACTGGCCTGTGCCTTGATGCCTGTTCTGAGAAATGATGAAAGACTTCCCTGGTCCCTCCCAGCCTTAAAATTCTATCACTGTAACACGTTAAATTTTTAAGGGCGATTCTCTTAATATTTTCCCTGTAATCTTATTTATACTGGTCTATTCACTTAGCAAAATTAAAAAAAAACGATTCTCTGGGATATTGGATTGGGGCACATATTAATGACTAATGCATGATCACATGAGTTTGTTTTTTAGGTAATTAAATGTGTTGTCATTGTCTGAATTCATTACAGGCAGAGATGTTTCTATATAGGATATATAATCGCCTGCCAAAGTGCTAGGAAAGTTTTAGTCAAAGTTGAGTCTTTCTAACTTTACTGGAGTTAGGTGGTTTTTTTTAGAAAAGTTATTTTAAAGATTTGTTGATTTGTTTGCATTGTCTACATTGTGAAATTAACAACAACTTTACAACCATAAAAGAGATCAAATGTAGGTTAGTATATTCATATAGTATATTATACTCATATAGTATATACTAATATATATGTGTGCTTAAAGGTCACAGAACAAACCTTTTCCTTAATGAATAAGCACTTACTGTCTATTAGCCATACACACACACACACACACACACACACACACACACACAGACACACACACATTTATACCTAGGTAGTATATTTTCATTACCTTTTGCAATATTTCTAGAGAGGCGGGAAATAATGTTCAATACATTTGGAGCTATTATTCAGTAGCAGAATTGAAGAAAATGATGGATGCTTTTGATGCCTGGGAAGGAAAAGGTACTGTACCATTCTTTTATTTCATGGCAGAAGGTAGACTTATCCTTAGTAAGACAAAGTACCTTAAATGAGAATTTCTTTTTTCAAGAAAGTATTTTGTGTGTATATGTACGTGGGCCCAGGTATTTGTCATGTCATGGTAATATTGCAATAATTTACTTATAAATCGTTAAACCTGATGAGTTGCTTGATATTATTAATAGTTTATAATCCAGTAACCTAACTTATGCTTCTCTTAGTTATGCTTATTTAGTTCAATTAAACAAGACTTTACTTAGCACCAACTGTGTATCTAGCATTGTCCTAGGAACTATGCCTCTAAATTAAGCATAAAATGTATAATAAAAAAAAAAGAGAGAGACAGAGGAAATGAAAATAATGCTGGGTAAAAGGTCTAAAGAGCCCTTATAAAACAATAAAATAATCTTTAAATGCACATTTGGAAATGTGGCCATTTTTACCAAACTGCTTATATGAGAGTTGGTAATAATAATGCTGTTTAATATCCAGTGTGATAATGTATTTTACATTCAGTATCCCAATCCTAAAATAACCTTCTATGCTATTTACCATTTTATTGATGAAGAAACTGAATCTCAGAGAGACCATGCCACTTGCTTAAGGATCATGGAGGATTAACTGTTTTATGCCCAAGTTATTTTTTCCCCTTAATTAATAAGCATTTATTGAGTGTTAAGTGCAGGTGCTATACTAAATTTTAAAAATGGGTCCAAAGATAAATAGCATACATCTCAGCCCTTAAATGATTTTAAAAGGGCTGATAGAAACACTGATGGCCACTCACGTAAAACTGAATAAAAGGAGTAAAAGGGGGCTTTAAGAACTACATCAGCTGTTCCTCCTTTAGGCGGTGTGCTAGTGTTAACATCCACCGTTCCTTCTTTTCTCATGTTTGCCTCTGCCACTTTTGTTCTTTTGTCTTTCCTTTTCATACCCCTCAAGCAGACAGGATGAAGTATAATAAAAGACGTGCTATTCTCTTTAAGCTTATTATTTTAGATTTAGTTGACTTTGAGACACTTGGATTTAAGTTGAGGAACAAACCTCATGGTGTTCTGTGTCTTCTTTTGTGCCTCTGGGCTGGCGGGCTGCCCAGGAGGCTTTGGGAAGGCCTGGCTGGGCTTCTTTCTCTACTGACTTAGGAAGCTGCGGCAGAGAGCTGGGGTCCCTGACTTTTACAAAGTGTGCAGCTACTTTTAACGTTTTAGAAGGCATGTAATGGAGTATCATTATTATTTAATAAAGTTCTGGAAGGTCTGTGGAAAAGCCATAAGGCAGGAAACAGAAGTAAGAGAAAGACCAGTTGGAAGGAAGAAGAGTGCTATTGTTATTTGTGGACAACATGTCTTTTTAGAAAACTCAAAAGAATCAAATAAAGATATTTAAATGATGAGTTGAGTAGACTTAAGTAGCTGGGTACAATATATGTAAACAAAGAGCAGCTTACTTGTGATAAATTAGAAATTATAGGAGGAAATCTCATTATAACAAGAACAATAAATAAAACAAAAAATAGCTAGGACTTTCCTAAGAAATACTTGAGTGTTTTATGAATAAAATTGCTAAAATGTACTTATCCATTGATCTATTTATATAAAAAAAGAAGACATGAAAATTATGATGAGGCATATGATGGTCCTGAATGGGAAATCTGAATACTACAAAGATTTCAGTTCTTCCTAGATTACATTGTAAGTTTAACACAATTCGTACTAAAATATCAGTAGGACTCTTTGGGAATCTTGAAGTGATTCTAAAATTCCTTTGAAAGAATAAACAGGTTAAATAGCCAAGAACATTTTCGGAAGTAGAGGTCATGAGAAGAATGACTATAACTCTGTTTGATAGTAAAACATGCTATGGATAATGATAATAAAAACCACGTTTCTGGTATAAAAATAGATGCAGAATTCAATAGTAAACCCTAATAAAGTTATAAGAATAAAAGTACTATGTAATAAGAAGGTCACATGGTTGATTGACTAAATAGCAATGAAAAAAGACATTATTTAATAAGTAATTGAGAAGTATGTTTGAGAAAAAACAACTTTAACCTTGCATCATTTATCAAAATGATCCTGAGTATATTTATAAATGAAAAACGAAACTATAATAAACTAAAAGGGAATTTAAGCAAAAAGTTGATTTCTTCATAGGGAAAGAAATGATAAGCTTAAAATAAATAATTAAATCAATAAATTCAATTACATAATATTTAAAGTATTTAAAACATAACATTTAAAACAAAAAATAAAATTAAAAGACTAATAAAAACTAGGACAAATAATGTTACATTAACTGGAAAAAGAATAGCCTTAATAGAGAGGATTTATTTTAATTGATTAGAAAATCAGGCCGGGCTGGTGTGGCTCAGTGGCCTGAGAGCTGGCCTGTGAACTGAAAGGCTGGTGGTTCAACTAACAGTCAGGCCACATGCCTGGGTTGTGGGCCAGGTGCCCAGCTGGAGGTGTGCAGAGGCAACAAATCCATGTATTTCTTGCACCTCAATGTTTCCCTCCCTCTTTTTTTCCCTCCCTTCACCTCTCTCTAAAATAAATAAATAAAATCCTTTAAAAAAAAAAGAAAAAATCAAATCCATTCCTACTACAAATTAATGTGCAGCGTTCATTAGCATAAAATTCCCAAAAAGAAAACATGTGGCAGGAGGTTCAAACTCATTTTTTATCAATGAAATGTTCATTAAATGACAACTCTTATTTGTGTGCCAGGTTGGTAAAGATCTCATACATTCTTGGCAGGAGTAAAAATTATTACTTTTTTAAAAAAGTAATCAGTACATATCAATTGCATCAAACTTGTTTGTATTCTTTGACCTAGGAATTCTACTTCTAGGAGTCTACCTTAAGGACATAATCAAATGCAGAAAAGACTTAAGAACGGAGATATTCAATTAAGCATTACTCATTATAGATAAATAAGAAGAATCTGAATTTTTTTCATTTTTAATTATATTTTATTGATTATGCTATTACAGTTGTCCCAATTTTTCCCCTTTTGACCCCCTCCACCCAATACCCCCCACTCCCGCAGGCAATCCCCACACCATTATTCATGTCCATGGGTCATATGTAGGTTCTTTGGCTACTCCATTTCCTATACTGTACTTTATATCTCCATGGTTATTCTGTAACTATTTATTTGTACTTCTTAACCTCCTCACCTCTTTACCCATCCCCCCACACCCCCAATCTGGCAACCATCAAAATGCTCTCTTTCCATGATTCTGTCTGTGTTCTTCTTGTTTCCTTAGTTTGTTTCTGAGGCTCATTGTTGATAGATACTTATTGCCATTTTATTGTTTATAGTTTTGATCTTTTTCTTTTTCTTAAATAAGTCCCTTTAACATTTCATATAATAGTGGTTTGGTGATGATGAACTCTTAGTTTTTTCTTGTCTGGGAAACTCATTATCTGCCCTTTGATTATAAATGATATCTTTACTGAGTAGAGCAATCTTGGCTATAGTTCCTGCTTTTCATGACTTTGAATATTTCTTGCCAATCCCTTCTAGCCTGCAAAGTTTCTTTTGAGAAATCAGCTCACAGTCTTATGGGAACTGCTTTTCTCTTGCTGCTTTTAAGATTCTACCTTTATCTTTAACCTTTGGCATTTTAATTATGATGTGTCTTAGAGTGGACTTCTTTGCATCCATCTTGTTTGGAACTCTCTGTGCTTCCTGGACTTGCATGTCTATGTCTTTCACCAAATTAGGCAAGTTTTCTTTCATTATTTTTTCAAATAGATTTCTTGCTCTTTCTATTCTCCTTTTGGCACCTCTATGATGTGAATGTTGGAATGCTTGAAGTCCCAGAGGCTGCTTGCACTATCCATGTTTTTTTGTTGTTTTGATTGGTTGTTTTTTGCTTCCTTATGTTTCAAATTATTGATTTGACTCCTGGCTTCATCCACACTACAGTTGTTTCTCTCTAAATTGTTCTTTATTTCAATTAGTGTATCCTTCCTTTCTGACCAGATCTTTATGCTATTGATGTCCTCACTAAGTTCCCTGAATATCCTTATAACCAGTGTTTTAAACTCTGCATCTAATAGATTGCTTATCTCCATTTTGATTAGCTCTTTTTCTGGAGTTTTGATCTGTTCTTTCGTTTGGGCCATATTTCTTTGTCATCTCATTTGGCAGCCTTCTTGTGTCTTTTTCTATGTATTAGGTAGAGCTGCTATGACTCCTTGTCTTTGTAGTGTGGCCTAATGTAGTAGGTGTCCTGTAGGGTCCAGCTACACAGTCTCCCCTATCACCCAAGTTGGGCACTAGATGTATGCCCTTCGTATGGGCTGTGTACACTCTCCTCTTGTAGTTGTGCCTTGGCTGCTGTTGGCAGGTCAATAGGAGGGATTTACTCAGGCCAGTCAGCTGCAAGGATTGGCTGTGACCACTGACCACCATCCTCTCCCCACTGGAGGATCAGCTGTGCAGAGGCAGGGTTGTGGTGCTCCAACATGCTATATAGCTGTCTATAGCTGTCCACTGGGTGCACTGGTCCAGGTGGTGCAGGCCAAGGTCAGTCCCCACCTGTGTTCTGCCTGGCGCAACCCTGCATGAACTATAAAGCAATCTGCAGATGGCTGCTACTTGTTCTGGGCTTGGTGGTTCCCAGGTGAAACTGAACTGTGTTCCAAAGCTGGTTGCTGCTGGTGTGGGGCCTGAGGTACCTTAGTAAGAAGTATAGAGGCTGGGGGCTCACTGAGGCCAGCTGTTGCTTGTTTGAGAGGATTTAGGAAGTTGTGAAGCATGAGCTAAGACCAGCCATTCATATGGAAAAGCCACTGTTAACAGTTTGGGTGGGCCTGTAAGTTGGGTGGGATGGAGTCTCAGGGGATCTCCGGGGTGGGGAGAACAGTGTTAGCCAGGTTGATGGAGTCTCAGATATGGCACCTGCCTGCTGGTTCTGTGGCTCTGTGGGAGGAGGGTTCAGAAGAGGGACAGTGGCCTCTGTCTACCTTTCTGTGTGGGATAAAGCTGTCCTCCAGCTCTTGACTTGATGCCAGACACTTTAGTTCCTCCCTGTTTGCCACTGGTGTGCCTTTCAAGCTGCTAACCTGGTGCTGGAGCTCAGAGGGAGTGAGTCTGAGTAAGTTCATGTGAGGGGACTTTAAGAGGAACTTCTTGGGACTCTAGAAGTTTCTTCCACTGACTCAGTCCCCAGTGGTTTTTCCAGCCAGAAGTTTTGGGGACCTGGCATTGGAATGCTGGGCTGGGGGTCCTGGTGTGGGACTTAGATTCCTCACTCTCAAGATATCTCTCCCGAATTTTTATCCACCACACATGGGTGCGGGACTAGACCATTCTGCATCTCTCCCCCTCCTACTTGTCTGGATGGATGTGGTTTCTTTAATTCTGTAGTTTTCAGACTTCCATTCAACTCGATTTCTGATGGTTCTGAGTGATGGTTGTTCTATAGTTTAGTTGTAATTTTGATGTGGTTGTGTGAGGAGGTGAGCTGTGTTTGTGTATGCCTCCATCCTGACCAGAATCTTCTAAATTTCAATAATAGAGGGTTAAATACATTTTGGCATATCCATGGGATAAAATAGCTATTTAAATTATTTTGAATAACTTTTTACATAGATCAGTGATTTTCAGCTGGTGTGCCACAATAATTTTTAAACCATGCAATACCTGACTATTTAGTCAGGGACACTGACCTCTTTTCCCTTAGATTATTGTATTCAAAAAATGACAATAGCCAACACAACAATAGCCATCTGAATGAATCAAAATTATACCTATTATTTTATCAGATTGGCAAAATATATATATTTTTTGGTGTGCTGCAGAATTTTAGTAATTAGTTTATGTGTGCCATAAGATGAAAAAGTTTGAAAATTCCTGCTATAGATGAATGCTCATGATAAAAAAAGAAATGGTCAAAAACAAGAAAGAAAATTATATGTCAAGTGTGTTTCATTACGTGCATATCATATGAATAGAAAAAAGACTAGAATGAAATACATCAAAATAACATAAATCATGGTTTCTAATTTTAGGATTAGAAGTGATTTTGATTTTCTTATATATACTTTTCTATATTTTCAGAGTTTTATACAATGAATATGAATTACTTTATAGGCAGGAAATAAGTGGAAGTTTTAAAAACAAATAGTGGTATATCCATACAATGGAATACTACTTAGCATAAAAAAATGATCACTGATACATATATCAACAAGGATGAATCTTCAAAGCATCAAGCTAAAGAAGCCAGACACAAAAGATTACATACTGTGTGATTCCATTTATATGACACTCTGGAAATGACAAAACCAGGACCTTTTGGGGGGCGATAGAAATGTTCTATTTTGACTGTGCTTTGGCTACATGACTGTATGCATTCATCAGAAGTCATTGAACTGCGTACCTTAAAAAGGGTGAATTTTATTTTCTGTAAATTATATATGAATGAATGTGACTGAGAAAAAAAAACCCTTAATAGATGAGATTTGGGAATGTTTTTGTAGCACAAGTAGGTTTGGGAGCATTATAAAGCAGTTCCAGAAAGTTACTGTCTTAAAATGAGGTTCAGAGAGTTCTTCAAGAATTGGACATACCTATTATATGTAATAATTTACATATTCAGCTTGCTAAGTTGTGTATTATTACCAGACCTTTAATGATAAAAAAGAAGATACTGAATCCCTTGTTGAGACTTCACTGTTATTTTTTTAATGCCAAACAATTTTTGTTCAACATTTTAAGCTTTTCTTTATGAGTCTATATATAAGTTTTTATGGTTGTTTTTAAAAATTGAGGTGAAATTCACATAACAGAATTAAAGTATACATTTCAGGGACATATATGGTATTGACAATGTTGTGTAACTACCACCCCTCTCTAGTTCTAAAATGTTTTCATCACCCCAAAAAGAAGCCCTTTACCCATTAAGCAGCTACTTCTCATTCGCCTCTGCCCTTAGCCCCTGGCAACCTCTAGTTTGCTCTCTGTCTCAATGAATTTGCCTCTTCTGGATATTTCTTATAAGTGAAATCATATGATATGTGACCTTTGTGTCTGTCTTCTCTCACTTAGCATAATGTTTTTAAGGTGCATAAGAATACATTTTCAGCTTTAAATCAGAAACATATCAGGTTTAAAAATGGAAATGAATTTGACTGGCATTTTGGCCTAACATATTGACTCAGATTATTCTTGTTGGAAAAGGCAGTCCTAGGGTAGCAGTATCTCATATGCACATAGCGGTTGCCTCTTACAGAATGGTTCCCGAAGTTTACCTGATTTGATGGTCACAGCAACCCAGTAAAGTAGACAGGACAAGTGTTAGAACCCCCACTGTCCAGTCCTTACACTGCTATCAACACTGGCTTACAATAAAGGTAACTAACTCTCCTGAGTGCTGAGCCTGTGCCAGGCCCTGTCCTAAGCAGTTAACATTTATTTATTCACTTAATCATCACAATAATCCTATGAAGTATGTATTATAATTGTCAACATTTTGCAGATGAGGAAATTGAGGCACAGATAGGTTAGATAACTTTCCTAAGGTCATGTGACTAGCAAGTGACAGTGGAAATTCCGACCCGGGTGGTCTAAGCTCCGGAGCCTGCCCCCAGCAGCCCGCACACTCTCAGCTGCGCAGGGCCCCGAGGAGACCTGCCCAGGGAATTTGTGGACACATCTCCCTGCATCACGTGGGAGGTGTGAACCTCAAACTCTCTTTCTGGCTTATGTTATACGAAACAATGTTTCTGGACATGTTGCAGTGGACAAAGGGTCTCTTAATTATGTCTTTCTATCTTCCAGGTGTTAGCTACTGGCGGGTACCTCATGAGCTGATAGAATGTTGGACTCTGGAAGAGCGGCCTTTACTTGGGAGCCTGCGTCACATGGCCCCAATTCGAAAGAGGTTATCTGTGCTTTGTTGATGTTTCTTGATTTTTTTTTTTATCTGTGACCTATATTTTTACTGCCTTTATTGGGGAAATGAACAATAGTTTTTGACCTTACTAAGTTTATTAATCACCTAGGTGAATATTCTGCCTTACTCCCAAAATATAAATCTTGATAAATTCAAAGTTACCAAAACTATGTAAAAAGTGCAAATCATTCTTTAAAACTGGGTTACAGTATGTTACTTTAGGGAGACTGTGATTTTAATAGCACTAATGGGCACAGCGGGAATGCTGTGGTAAGTAGTTTTCCCCACAAACGTGAAATCTAGGCTTCATTGGCAAGAGTCAAAACATGTGTTTATTAGACTTTATATTTGAAGTTTTTCCTGACTTATTCTGAATTCCTTTTCCTCTCATTGCCACAAATGACATTTTAATTTAATGGTATTTTCTTGTGTTCTATAAAATTATTAGCACTAATTTCACTCCACATGTGTGTCTTTCACTGTGCTTTAAATACATTTAAAAATCATCTTCCTTTTTTTAGTCCCAGAATTATTCATGGCTTTCAGATGATCCGATTCCTTGGTCTTCTGCTCTAGAACTTGATTCAGTGCCCCTGTGACTTTCAGAATGCTCTCGTGCTTGTGTCCTCTGGATCTTTCTCAGAAATGCTGAGTTTATTCAGTTTTTGGTAGTTAATCATCTCTTGTTAGAGATATTTTTTCTTAAAGGACCTCATTTTGTTATCATTATTTATTTTGCCCATTGAACCTACATTTAGCAAATATCATTTGGGCCTAGAGTAGTGGTTCTCAGCTGGGGGTGATTTTGTCTCTCGGGGAATATTTGGCAGTGTTGGGAGACATTTTTGGTCACCACACTGTGGAACAGGGAATGCCACGGGCATCTAGTAGGTAGAAGCCAGAGACACTGTTAAATGTCCTAGAATGCACAGGGCAGCCTCCACAGCAAGGAGTTATGTGACCCAAAATGGCAGTGGTGCCAAGACTGAAAAACCTTGGTCTTGAGTCTAGTGAAAGATGTGGACAGAAAACAAAGCAGCAGAAGTGGTGTTTTAGAGACTCTTCTCTGTGTTCATTGTCTTTCCTCTGGGGTTTTATTAAGTATCATTTTTGATGTATCAACAGGATAATGATAATGATGACTTACAAGCACTGGTAAGGTCCCAAAGAACCATCTGATTCACCAGATAAAATTTATTTATGTTCAACAGAGTTTTAGGGCTTAATACATTATAGAGTAGTTCCCATTATCCATGGGGGATCCCTTTCAAGTCACCTAGTGGATGCCTGAAACTGCGGATAGTACCAAACCCTAGATATGCTTCTTTAGTTTCATCGCTTTTGAAGACTTGTTTTGGATAATATCCTTTCTCCTTAGTCCACTTAACTCTGCCTGAAATGTGGCAGCAGCTTCATCAGAAGACACAGCCTTCAGTAATTTTTACATGTTCCAGTGCAAACCTACTTCTGAATCAGCATAACCATCCCTTGCTTGCAATAAATGGCCTGTTGTCACTTGTTTCAGGGGATCCCTTGCTGAGGTCTTTACATAGGCTCAGTGCTTTTTGTCACAATGTGTTGCCGTCAGTTGGAACATGCTTTCTGTTCCTGTCTTCCACCCATCTTCACAAAGCATTTGACATGCGCTGTGACCCTAAGGTTTGTAGTTTGAGGTGTAACAACAAAGCTAGTACAAATTTATTTTTTCTTCACAATTTCATGGGTAGAAGATTCATTCTTCTACATACAATGATAGAAGATCTTAGCAACCGCAGTGTATGATGTTTTTGTTTTTCCTTTTTAAGTCAAGAAATTTCACTCTCTCCCTTCAAAGAAGAACTTTACAGCCCTTCTTTGGCATATACAAATTGCCAGCATTACTGCTCTTGTGTTTTGGGGCCATTATCAAGTAAAATAGTGTTACTTGCACACAACACTGCGATGTCATGGGAGCCGATCTGGTAATCGAGACGGCTGCTTCCCGCAGCGCGGATGTGCTGGACAGAGGGAGGGCTCCCGTCCCCGGTGGGGCGGGGGTAGGACACTGCAAGGTCTCATCACACTGCTCAGCATGGAAGGCAATTTGAAACTTACAAGTTATTTATTTCTGGAATTTTCCACTTAATACTTTTGGATCATGGTTGACTGTGGGTAGCTGAAACCATGGAAAGTAAAAGCAAGGATAAGGAGGGATTACTGTATTTGCATTCTTTACTACATGGGGCAATTTTAAAATCACCATGCTATTATCCCATTTCCAAGAATCAAAGTTCACTAGGTTCTGTTTGCCTTTGGAAACATGACAAGGCCAGGTGAGAGAGAGGCGGCCCGGAGGGTTGCGGTTAGACTTTGCGTGCAGGAGGTGGTCTTCACGAAGGGAAACTGGGGGCAGCAGTGGAAGGAACGGGCAGGTTTTTGACAGTGGTTGATAGTTTTAAAGTCATTTAAAGCAATGTCCCCCTTTTAGGGCTTTATAATGAAAGAAAAACTCATTTGGAATCTTTGAAGTTTTATCCACTACTCAAATTCAAAAAGTATCTAACTCTTCTATGGGTTTGACTGTTTTAGCAGTTTCCAAAATGTGTCCCGTAGAGTGCTAATTTTACTGGCTGCCAAAAGTATCTTTGCGGAATGACTGGGAACTATGACCCAACAAAGTGAAACAGGTGCCCTCGCTGTGCGCCTTCTCAGAACCTTTTGTGTATTCATATAGATGTTAACACTCCAAGAGGAGACTAAAATATGCAGCAGCATTTCTCAAGTTTATTTAACTGTGACCACCCCCCGCCAGTAAATCGCTTGAAATTACTGTTCTGGGAAAAGCAACTTGGGATATTTCTGGTTATACTCTGGATCACATTAGGATTTTTGGGAACAGAGTGTCATGTGGTTTAATTCTCATGTAACAACTCATCTCCAAATTTTAACATGTTGGTATTATATGTGATTTTAAAAGAGTGCCTGCTCAAGTTGAAACACTCTTTTATAAACTTGCTAACTCACTTACTCACCTTGGTGGGCGATGAGAAATGAGGTATGTTGATACTTACAAACCTCTTGACTCTAATTCTTCACGAAAGCCTTTTTGTTCACTGTAAAGGTGAACTTTAGAGATGGTTTCATGGGCTGCTGAACATGTAGCTGCTGACAGTGGCTGCTTCTGTGTTTGCAGGAGACTGACGGCGTTCGGCGACGAGGAAGAAGGTGTGAACTGTAAGATGGCTCCTAAGCCTGTCAGGTTTCTAGGGCCTTCCACCAGCACCCAGATTAAGGTCAAGAACTCGGCTGCAGTCAGGGTGTCTTCCACCAGTGCCCTTCAGGCCTGGTTGCCGGCCATGGCAAACCAGTCTTCGGGCGCGACGACAGCTCAGCGCTCTGCACTGCCGAAAGCCCCGTCCGCCGCGGGCGCCGAGGTACCCGGGCATTCCCCGGCTGCCCACGGGACGGGGAGCGCTGAAAACGGAGCCTCGCTGCCCCCCTCAGCCAAGGTTCTGCCCTCCGACAAGAAGGCCACCCCACACCGAGTGATCAAACTGAGGCGGACTCCCCTGTGTGCCCCCGGGCCTTCCCCGAGGCCCGGGGGCGCCGCAGCGCCGCCACCGGCCCAGGCGCCCACCTTTGATGTGCAGACCGAGAACTTGCAGGGCAAGGCTGATTGATGTCCTGTTTGCCTCCGGAGCTTCCAACCCGGGTGATAGGGTGATACGCATACGGGGCACTGTTGATGCAGGAGAGGTGAAAAGTTAATGGTTCTTTTTAGGATAATTATGAGAAAAATAAATTGTGTGATATAAGAATGGAGGAGGGGAGACTTTAGGTGGTTGAGGCTATAGTTACTTCTCATTTTCCCAACTTTTAAGTGATCATCTTCTATAGGCAATTTGAATTTCAGGTTTTTATTGTTTTGAATGGTTAATTGGTAGTAAGGCAACAAAACGGTGCAGAGAACATCACTACAGAAGTTTACTTTGTTGCTGAAATAAGTATAGACTTTAGGCACTTTTGTAATGTTACTCATTGAAGCCCAGGGACAGGAGTGACTTTGGGTTTAGATCTTCCTGTTTGGTGAAATAGCGAGCGTGATATTAATGCTTCCCTGAGCTATGTCACAACCGAGAGAGAAGAGAGAAAACATAGATCAAGGTGAACTCACTACAGGTTATTCCCAGTCGCAAAAGGCGACAGGAAAAGAAATGATAGGGAGGGGAAAAATGATAATAATTTGAGATCACACTTTGTCTTTTACTTAATTAAATTATTTTCTAGATTGGATTTTTTTTTACCTTCTTCCTTTAGATTTATTTATACATCACAAGATTTCTTGGGATAAGGACTATATAACATCTCTTTAGCCTAAATTGTTAAAATATTTTAATTTGAACAGCATAGTGTTGAAAGTACTTTGGAAAAGAGAAGTTACAAGTTTAACTTTTTAACTAAAGTTAAGTTTTGTTTTTCAGAAGTGACCGTTGCAAAGTCAGTCTGATTATACAATATGATTTTTATGCATAAAAGATCCACATAACTTGAATTTAATATTTTTAAACAGAATATTTTGATTAATCCTCTATTTTTCACAACTGTTCAGTTGTGTGTGTTTACGCATACATGTTACGTTTTACAATTGGATCACATGTTGCTGCCTTCAGTGGGTTAAAAATAAGTTCATAAAGCAGGGTACTTTTTACTTAGTGCTTATCATTGTACTTGCATTGTTTTGAAAGAGTAAAGTAACTATATTCAAAACATTACTTTTTACAAAATAAAGTAAAACTTTTCCATAAAAAGTGACATTTTCTATTACTGTACTTATTGTTAAGCTTTGGAGCCCTTTAGTAGTTTGAAAGCTGGTCAATTTATATAGGTTATCTATTTCCACCTCCAAAATTGCTTTCCTGTGTAGGTAATACATGAAATAATTAAACCAGTTGCAGATGGCTATTCAAATACCAGCAGCCTTTTAAAACAGGTGGTTTATTTGGCTGGGAAAAAAAATGAACATTTAGCTGAAGAGTCATGAATGACATTCCCTGTAAATATATAAAAATACTCAGTTACTTTTGAAAAAATACTATTGTAGGGAATCCAGATATTCTGAATATCAAAGACCATGGTGAATTTTGAAAATGTCCAGTTAGGCCATTATTAATATCGCTTCATCTAGGATATTTGGAATCAAGGATTTATATAATAAAATATACTACTAATAAACATGTTTACTTTATACATAATAAATAGTTATCTGGGAAAGAAACATGTTGAAGATTAATCATGGATGATTCAGTCAACAGCCTTTATTTCTTTGCACCAAGTAATTTAAGGTGTAGCCTAGTTAGCACATTTAGCCTTTGTAAGAAGGGAGTTTTTGGAACAGTTACGGGGCTAAGGTGCAGCTGAGGTGGGAAGCAACAAATGGTCCCATACGGGTGTCAGGAGTTAAAGTCAAATTCAGAATGTTGGAGTGACCTGAACCTTACTTTGTTTGAGGTAGTTCCCTGGGGTTCAGGTTAACTTCACGTGAAAACAACATTTTGCTTAATACAAGACCCTGTAAACATGAAAGGGTTGGTAATTCATCATAACCCATTGTTCTTCCTGGAAAAAATAAAAATTAAAAAAAGGAAAGCATGGTGTATAGATATTCAGTATTATTACTTTGGAGGAGTAAGTTTATGTAGAAGTTGAATCAAGGGACACAACAGAAATTCTTACTGGTAAGATATTAGGTATTGTTCATATAAAAAAGGGATAATATATTCTGCCCTTCCAGCTACTCTCTCTGTTGAAAAACTGGTTTGCCCTGATTAAAACTGGTTATATCATGGAGAGCCTAGGGCTGGCAATGGCACCTAGTGAAGGGTTGGTTTTGTTTTTATTTTTAAATATTTTTGTTTTAGTATTGCTTTATGTTATAAAGTATTTTCATATATTTTACTTCATTGTGTTCAGTACAAAAACCAAAATGAAGCTAGTCTTCCCAAGTCCTCAAAGATCACGAAAATGAGGTTCGGCAAAGTGAAGGCTGTACAATAGTAACAGCCTCTGCCCCTCCACTCCGGCCCCCCCCACGTGGCCCCGTAATCTGATTTCTGCAGGATGCCGCAGGATCACTGACCACAGGATAAGCTGGAGGGAGGAAGTAGATGTGAAAGTGTGACTTTGTTTAATATTTAAGGTTTTTGAGCAGAAAGTATTAATATTGGATGACATGTCTCCTACTAGAGAGGGCCTCTGTCGGCTCTGTACCTGGTGTACAGTAGGCCTTCAGTAAAGTTCTGAACAGTTAGCGCACCGTCCCCCTCAACCCCCCGGGTATTTTAGAAGGTGTATCTGGTAGCAGTCTTCAGGGGGTGTGGACCCTGATTTGCCACCATGCAGAGTTTATGTTGTCACAACAAAGTGGAAGTTCCTCAGTACTGTGATTATTGCTCATGGCAACAATTACCATTAGTAATGACCGTAGCTGTTACATAACTTGTCAGGTTGTTTAAAGTAAGTCAGAGACATGGATCACAAGATCCCAGTGAGGTCGCTGGTGAGTGTTGTCTGACTTCTGAGAGAGGAAAAATGCAGGCTGGCCTCCTTCCTGTTTTAGTGCTCCGGTCTGGCTAGAATTGCTGATGCAATTTCTTTTTCATTCACAGACTGAATCCTGTTGCTTCCTTACCAAGTGCTAACACTGAAAAGAATTGTTGATTCACTTTCCAGTGTATGGTTAAATACAGTATAATTATTATCCAGCTATACTTTGTTTTTTAACATACAAGTCACATTTGGCTTTACCTGAGAAGTTGTTCATAGAAAAAACTTTGATTTAAATGGAGTTTTGAATATGCACAAGTTGTTCTGTAAAGGGAAGAATACTAACATTCACATGAATGTAAGGTTGCCTTATAAAGAATTATTATACCTGCAATCCCTTTGAATAGCTTTAATCTACATTTGGTAGGATGTTGGTTAGATACTAAATAGAAAGTATGAAGCTGATAAGATGAAGGGAAAGTGCTCCTATAACAAATGAAAAATATTTTTCAAATGATTTCCATGTGTGTATTCCTAAGTTGAGTAAGAATGTTCTAATTTTGGAAAATACTGTCGTTTTCCCATATGCCAAAACTTTCCCTTGAAAACTGTCAACAAGTTACTGATTCTTTAGTCAGTGAAGAGTGGATGAGTGATTCTTTGTTGAGGGCAGCAGTTAGTATGCAGGATTTCAATCATGTAGTGCAGCCAAAAAAGGAAACTTCAGGAAGAGCTAACAGAAGAAAAATTGGTTTCTAGCTGTTTTCGGAATTTCATATTCGCGGAATTTGGTTGGCGGTGCAGCCTCAGAGGGGACATTTTCACTGTCACCCTGTCAGCCTCATGAGACACACATGGTTTACATTGTTACAGAAAAGCTAATTTTTCTTTGTTCACATGTGTTGCCTCAGACGGCACATACGCATTTTATGTTAGCTAAATGGTTTCTGATGAAGGTTGTGGCTAAGACAGACAGAATTTTATGGTGATCCTTCAGTCATTATTCTTGCCTTGCTTGTTTATTTAACAACTTTTCATCTTATAATGTTGCTTCTCAGACTTTTCATTTCCTTTGTTTACCCTAACGCCCTCATTACATTCATAAAATTTTGCTCAGCTGCAAGAATGAGTTTGGGGGCCTGAAGCTTAGAAGAGAAACTCATTGTTAAACAGAGAGCATGTTATAGAAAGAAAAGGTAGCATAATTTTGGACATTTTCTTTCAATAGCTGCTCTTGCAGGAACTCATCCTTTAATTCCTCAGTTTGGAAGATGTGGGAACTCAGCTTCTGTGTAGATGACACAATAGCCCAAGGACCTCAGAGGCTGAACTCTGGCTGTGGGTTGGACAGTCTGGATAAGGGAACCCACCAAGAACCCAGTGTAGCTGGAGGAGTGAAGCAACACGCCTTTGTTTGTCTTCTCCATCTCTGCTCCCTGTCTCCACTTCCCTTGTACCCTCCGGATCAGGGATTTCAGCAGTGACACTACTGCCACTTGGGACTGGATAATTCTTCATTTTGGGCGACTGTACTGTGCTCTGTAGGATGTTGAGCAGTATCGCTGGCCAGTACTCCCTGCCTCCACTGTGGCAATTAAAATGTCTCCAGACTTTTCCAAGTGTCACCTTGGGGTGAGGGATGGGCACAAAATCGATTACCCCCAGGTGAGAACCATTGTTGGGTGATTTGACCTGAGCAAAATAACTGCCTCCCCTGGGGGGGGGAGGGGCAAGGACGAATGAGGGGGCGTCGGAGCTGTCAGTCACAGGCAGGGCTAGAGCCGTGGGAACTGAGGGGGTGGATGATCCCAAAGGAAGGGTGCCTCAGGCTGGCCGGTGAAGCCACCCGTCCTATTAGCTTCCACTCACATTTCTGGTTGCGGTGTAATACTAGAAATATTTTTGTTTGCTCTTCTGACTAACTAATGAAAACTCAGATGCACTCATCTAAGCCCTTATGTAGTAACTTATTTAATACAGCAACTCTATTATGCAGGCGTATTATCATCCTCATTTACCAAAGCACAGAGGGGCTTGGGAAGCTGCCTAGCAGCTAGTCGGGGAGGATGAGGCAAAGACCGGATTCACACGTGTGCACCTTCCTTGAGTCCAGGCCCTTGGGCACCACATTAGGGCCTCCTGTTAACAGGGGCTCACTCCATTCCCAGACATGAGTAAGGCAGACTTAGAGCCTCTGTATGCTGCAGAGTTATTGTTTATTTACCAAACGTTCTTACAGTGCTCTCTGAACGATATGCCCGTTACCAACTCTTTGCTGCTTGGCTCCAGATCCACTCTTTACTGCCTGCTTGTGATCCTGGAGCTGGACCCTGCGGGCACTTGTCTTTACCCAGCTGGCCTTGTCATTGGAGGGACACTGCAGGAGAAGGGGGCTCCTTCCGAGTTTAGTCTGTGTCTCTGTGCTCTGGCTCCTGCAGCACTTAGTTAAGCGTGGGACCCCAGGGGCCCTCACCCCAGAAAGTTTCAGTGGCAGCATCCAGTCCCCGGGGTCCCCTGCTGGCAGCCCAGATAATGCAGCAGCACTCCTGGGCAGTTGCCTGGCGAGTTTGGCAGGCACACCAGCCAAATACCCAGTTCCTTCAATGGCATCCCTGCAGGTGGGCCCTGGGGTGGGTCAGCCCCTCTGGGGGAAGCGCCCTCGTTCTCCAGTGTCCCGGGGGCGGCTCCCACTCCCAGCACCTCAGTGAGCTGCTTGTCCTCCAATGGAACACGGCCATGTCCTCCCCCGTGCAGTCAGAATCTCGGCCTTGTGGCCAGGAGTGGGCAGGAGAAGAGAGGCTCTCCCAAAATTGTCCCTTCTTTGGGCACTCCACCTCATTGCTGGATACAGCCTCAACTGTCC